GGGCGGCGACGGAGCAACGGCGGGGCCCAGGGGCCTCAAATACCGCGGCGGGGAGGCGGGCGGGCCCGGGCGGGGTTGGGGAGGAGCAGTGCGTGCGCCCGGTGAACCCCGCGCGCCGCCTCCTTTCCGGTCCTAGTGCGGTGACCGGCCCCACTGGGCCAACAGGGGCGTGGATGGGAGGAAGGCCTGGCCCTTCGGAGCCTCTCAGTGGGGTGAGCAGCATGTTACTGTGACTCTGTGACTCTTAGGTCCAGAAAAGTGCCACCCCTGGCACCTGGCTTAAGTGGCACAGCGCAGAACAGACTTGTAAAATGCAGAGAGCCAGGCCGCTTCGCGCCCCTGCGAATGCGGCTCCGGTCCGATAAATCATACAAATGCTGCGAAATCCCGGCCTGCCGCCTCCCAGCAGTCTGCGAGAACGGAAAGGCTCAGGGGCTGGAGTGGGAGTGTGGACTGAAATAAAATCAGGCAACGTGAGAGTTGTGAGCTAAGTCTTGCTTGAGGCAAAATGAGGACGATAGCCCAGGGTAGCCTTTCAGGTAGCTCTGAGGAGCTGCTGGGAAGACGCGAGGGGAGCTCAGCAGTGTGTCTGATTTTAGGGAGGGCGGGGGTTACGTTCAGTCAAGCACGGTTCAGGCAGAGGCTTGTTGCTAGTCACGAGATGCTGGTGTCACTGTTAACAGTTTCAGTGCTTTTCTAGATATGAAGAGACGCAAGAATCTGGGCTCATAAAGTCTTCTCCCAAAACTGCCTATCTGAAGGCCTGTGCTGCCAGTTTTCTCAGAGCACAGAGCGCTTCGTTCCTATCTCCACCCTGAACTCCTTTCAGGGAGTGTTGGAAGGTCAGTGGCTGCAGTGGCTCATGATTTAATCCAAGCAGAGGTAGCCGGCAAGTGCCAATGGGATCCAGTCCTTGTAGAAGCAGGTGGCAAGTGCCAATTTTTAGTTGGCAGGGAAATGCTAGCTTTGTATTAAAAATACCAAGTTCAATTTCAGAAACCTCAAATTGTTTAGTGCCTCCTCTGTCCTTACTGTAAGCCAGGGGTTCTTTGCATCTACACCTGTGACCTCTGAGCCAGGTAATTCTTTGTTGTAGGAGGGCTGGCCTGGCCCCTCTCCCCACTCAGTTGGTGCCAGCAGCAGAGCCCGCCATCCCTCCTCCCCAAGGTGTGGCTTCTTTGACTTTATTTTTGGAGTAGGGACACATGGAGGAATGCTTGGGGATTTCTCCCTTCCACCCTTGTCCTCTCCAGTCCTTTTCACCTCAGTTTGATTAGCTCAGCTTTATCATTGCTGCTTATCTTTTTGCAGAAGTAAGCAACATGAATATACTATGAAGTGAGAAATAAAATTGAGTCACTTATGTCAAGGGGCTTTAAAATGGAGCTGGAAAGCCATTAGAGAGATGGACCTTATGCACTTCCTCACCAGGTGGAACCACTAACTTTTGAACTGGGCCAAACCGCAAATATGTCAAGGACTTTGCAAAAACACCTGCAACTTGCCACAGTAACGGACTTTCCCCTCCCTCTAGTGATGGCCTTGGCGATCAATCACGTTCAGCCAAGACTAGCTCCTGCCTCCAGCTCCAGTTATAATCCTCTGTACGGCAGCCCTGCCTCCTGCCTTTCCAGCCCCTGGCCTCTCTTACTCCCTAGTGGGATGCTGGGTTGCCACCCAAATCTGTGTGCCCCAAATTGCAAATCCTTTGATCCCCAGTAAACTCTTTTGGTTTGATTGTTGCTTCAGTGTGTGTGTGTGTGTGTGTGTGTGGTGTGTGTGATATTACATATATTTTATGTTAACGTATATCTTATATATTTTTGTATATTTTATGTGTATTCATTCTAATTTCAACTCTGTTTTTACCAAAAGAGCAGCATTCAATCAATCTGTCCATCTACTGTCTATTGATAGTTCTGCTACTTTCTTTTTTCCACCTAACACTAAATTTTGGAGATTTCTTTAATCTGGCACACAGAAATCATCCTTGTTCTTTCTCTGGCTGCTCCATGTTCCACTGACTGCCACTGATGGCAACCATTTGGGTTGTTTCCGATCTTAACTAATTACAAACAGCGCTGTCATAAACAGCCCAGTGCTGGGCTTCTCAGAGTTTAATGCGCATGCCAGCGACCTGAGGTCGCTGTCAGAATGTTGCTAGTCACGAGATGCTGGTGTCAGAATGCAGATTCCGATTCAGCAGCCCCTGAGAGCCTGCGTTTCTAACAAGCGCCCGGGAAGCTGAGGCTGCTGGCCCACAGACACACTTTCGGTAGCAAGAGCTTGGTGTGATGATTGTTTTCTATGATTCTTAGAAGCAGGGTTGCTAGATCAGAAGGTAAATACAGATGTACTTTGGGTGCTGTACTTCTCAGGAGTGGAGCCGTTTGGCCCCCTCCCCCACTGTGCCCGAGGGCCGCTTCGCAGCTGCGCTGACAGCCTTGCTTGGCCGTCTTCTTCGGATTTTTACCAGGTGACAGGTGAGAAACACTGTCTCCCGTACCCTAATTAGCATTTGCTTTATCATGAGTAAGTTTGAACATCTTTTCTTAGGTTTAAAAGCCATTGCCTCTTCCTGTTTTATTCCCCCCATCCTGTGAACTGTTCATGACTTCTGTTCATTGTAAAAATCGCTTGGTCTTTCTTTTCGGTTCTTACGTGCTCTGTATATATTAGCATAATTAGTCCTTTATGAGCTATGGCACAAATAGTTTCCCCCAGCTTCTCATCTGACATTTTCTGGGACTGCTTCTGGTGCTTCTGGCACACATTTTTTTATGTAGTCAAATTGAACGATTTTTCCTTCATGACTGATAGATTTTTGCATCATAGTTAGAAGGCCTTTCTCTGAATTATACAGTTCACCAGTGTTTTCTTCCAGTATTTGTATGGCTTTACTTTTTACATTTAGACTGCTGATCCAGTTAGAGTTTACCCTGCTGTTCGAGAAATGTAGATCCAATTTTAACTCTTTCAGATGGCTTTCCAGCTGTTCCAGCTCCTTTTGTTAAAAAGTCTGTAATTTTCTCTGACGATTTGACAGGCACTTTTATTACATACCGAGTAGCTGCATGCCCTGGGGTCTGTCTCTGGACACTATATTTAGCCCCACTGATCACTCTTTCAACCACAGAGCTTCCATGATATGGTTTACTACCTGATGGGGCCAGTCCCCCTCATCACTCCTCTGTTTCAGGATTTTCCTGGCTGTCCTTGCTTCTTTATTTTCCCAGGTAAACTTGAGAGTCAGCTTGTCTAACTCTAAAAAAAAAGAAAAAGAAAGTGTTGGTGTATTTGTTAGAGTCATACTGAATTTACCTCGCGGTAAATTAATGTCGTTTACTGATTCAGTTGTCCCGCCTGGAGGAAAGCAGGACAGGCCACCCCAAAGTGAGCCCCTTTGGTGTGTGAATTTCTTTGAGCAGAAGGCAGCCAAGACCCAGCAGACTCTGGAAAACCTTTACCTCTCCCTTAACTGCCTAAAAGAATTTAGATAGGGGGCCTGGCCCAGAAAGAGAGCTATAAATAGAGATAACTTTTTACCTGAGACTTACCTGCAGGGCAGGACAGACATCTGATTACCAAACCCCTGCTCTTATCTTCCTGCAAAAGGCCCTCCCCCCTTGGAAGCCCCAGCTCCATCCTGAGCCCTCGGCTCAGGGAGGCAGGTAAGTCTCAGTTGCCTGGCTGCCTTTGGGTCGTATATTTTCATGGACTCACATACATAAAAAGCTAAATTTAGTGGGGAGGGCTTGGCTGAGTGGTCAAGTACATGCTTAGCACACAAGGTCCTGGGTTTAATCCCCAGTACTGCCATTTAAAAGTAAGTAGATAAACCTGATTACCTCCTCCCCCACAGAACAAAACAAACCACCCCACCACCACCACCAACAACAACAAACAAACAGAAGCTAAGTTTGTTCTTCTTGTCTTACTCTGTCGTATGTCAGTTCAATTATGAGACGAGCAAAAAGAACCCAGAAGGGGAGAAGGTAAGTTTTACCCTCCCCTACATAGCCAGGAACATTCTGGATCTTCCTGTTTGCCCAAATACTTGTTTTTCTTTTTCAGGAGTGTTTTAAAGTTTCCTTCATAGAGGACGTGCACATTTCTTGTTTAGCTTATTCCTAGTTATTTTATTTTTCTGTTGATTTTATGCAGAAGCATTTCTCTCCCCTTACGTTTTCCAGCGGCTCCTGTTGTATGAGAGGATTGTTTCCATGTGTTAACTTTATCCCTTGCTACCTCACTGAGTTTTCTTACTATTCATGTCAGTTTTCTTTCACTGAGTCTTTTGGGTCCTTGTGTCCTACAGCTGTATTATGACACCTGCAGATAGAGATAGCTGTGTTTCTTCCTCCAGTTTTCATGTCTCTCACGTTTTCTCTTGTTTGAGTGCGTTGGCTGATACCTCCGATAGAGTAAGTTCCTCAGCCTGCCTACATTTTAGTGCTTCAATACCTGCGAAATGAGAGGGTGCGTACAGGAAGCCAGCATGGCTCCACAAGGAGCAGGCCGTTCCGGGGGCGGGTGCAGCTCGGGGCGGAGCACGCGCTTAGCGTGCACGGGCTGCTCGGCTCACCCCGCAGCACCGCCACTGAAGAAAAGGGGGCGAGAACAAGTCCTTCCTCAGCGCGTCTGCTTTTTCCAGCAGCTTCACTTGGCAGGGGGCCTAGGCAGAGGGTCTGTAGGCCAGTGTTCTCTGTCATCCTGCCTGGATTCAAATTAGGCTAGAGAGCTGCTTCCAAGTTATGCAGGCTAACAGTTCTGGGCTCAGAATCCTCCGAGAAAGATTTCTCTTAGCGTAGACTTGAGTGTATATTTACCGCATTTTCATAACTTAATATCCTGACAGGCTCATGATGAAGAACAGAATCAAAACGAAAAGTAGTCAGATACTTAGAAAGAAACGATGTGAGTGCTCAGCTGAAGAGGTACCTGACCACGAAGGCCTGGGGTTTCTGTTGTCTCCAGGCCAGCATGCAGCCCCAGCCCGGTGTGGTGGTGCTAGACGTGCTTCCAGCACCCCGCCCCCCAGCCCCGGGCTCACAGCGGGCAGAGGCTGCTGGTCTCTTCAATAAAGACCTCTGGCCAGTCAGCCTCCAGGGCCTCATGACTGAGGATCTAAAGGTTATCATTTCCCAGTCACTCGGAGCTCTCCTTTATTTTTTATCTTCTCTTCCTCATTCCTAAGCTCCTTCACTAGCTATACCACTGGCATTCATTCCCTGATGGAGAGGGTCCCTCCCTGTGGACCACAGGTCACAGAGCAGGAAAGGCAAGCGGGATGAACCAATGAAATCCTGGGTTTTACCTGCATCTTCATTTACCTCAAGGCTTCTCAGTGTTTGGCCCTTCACTCACAGGATGACCCAGGACGGTTGTCTTGGAAGCTGAGCCGGAGGGGTCACTGGTGGGTGAGGAGTGCCTCAGGCCGTTTGCAGAAGGACACACACAGCTGTGGCGCAGTACGGCTTGGTGATTCACTAGTGTCTGATGCTTAGAAAATTTGCTTCAATATAGCAATGATGTCAACCAAAAGTCACTCCCAAGAATGTCTTTTTCTTTCTGATCGCAGCTAATTGATCCCTGCTGCTAACCCGGACAGAACCCTGGCCCTCACTCAGCAATAGGATGGCATTTTCTTTCGCCAGACATCCTTGAACGGGGAATTGTTTCGATTTCAGCTTCAAAGGACTTCAGCACTCGATGTAAAATAAAAGTAAACAGAGCCTTTTAGGTGTTTACAGTCAGTAACTTGGACACAGAGCGAACAAAAGATCTTGACCATGGGTTCTACACAGCTGTTTTTAATTTATGAATTTGGGACTGTTACAAGTAAATATTTTCTGTCACTGTATTTTATCTTTGAAAATAATCCTTCTTTCAAATGATGAAAATAATATTTTGGCAAAAACACATTTAAAAAGCGCACTGCAGCCCACACCATCTCCCTCATCACAAGGCGGCTTTGCTGTTGGAGTCCCCCGCCCCCACCAGGCCCAAGAGCAGCAGCCGACCAGCTGCCTGGGTGAGTGCGTTCTGCTCTGCTGACGCTTCAGCTCCAGCACAAAAGGAACAGACGGCTGCTTCCGCCTCACTGTGGGCCTCTCACTGTGACTTTTGTGCCATTAGCACGATTGTGTTCCATGTGCATTTTTCAGTATGGCGTGGACTGACTGACTCACAAAACACAAAGACCTTTCTACCCCATCCTGCTGGAGTTCTTGGGACGATCCATCATGGGTTTACCACTTCCACGCCCACAATTAAGATAATCCGCTCTGAGGGTGAAGGATGAGAGATGAAACCAGGCTTTGTCTCCTGCCCTATTGATAGTTTTGTCCCCCACTTTTTAAAATGAGACAAAGTGACTTCCTTTTTTTTTTAAACGCGTAACCACCTTTCACATCCAGGTGCTTGGACTTCATAAACCCTCCCCCGACATCTTCATACCCTTGAAGCCCCGCTAGATAGCAGAGCTGGAAAACCCCAAACCCCATTTATTAGACAATTACTGTCCTGAGTATAGTATCAGTTCCCAAAGAAGTTGAGAAGTAAATTGAATGAAACGTGATCCATTCTCTCCTAGCCATTCAGATGGACAGAAAGAGAAAGTGTTTCCGTGTAGTGGGTGGTGGCTCTGATGGGCGTACGCAGCACGATGGGGGCAAGACGGAGCTGGCTGCACAGCGGGATGACCCACAGGGGTGTCAGCTGACCTGGGTCTGCAGGGAGGAGTGGTCTTCCGGGTGGAGAGGGGAGGAAGAACTAGGCAGAGTCCCAGCGTGTGAAGGGCTCGCAGGTGGGGGCTCTGAGGGCAGGTGGGGGGTGGGCTGGGGGGCGGGGGAGGGGCCGAGCAGGCTTGAGCTGGTCAAGCGGGCTGGACTGCAAAGGGCCCTGAGGCCATTCTGAGGAATTTGTGTTTTATTCCAGCCGCACACGGTAACCCAGCACCTGAAAGACGGGTGCCCATGGGCAGAGGCACTGAGAGACTCAGGGGCGGTTCATGTAAGCTGTGAATCACCTAAATCCTGGAAGGTGTTCTTCAGAATTTGGGTTTCAGTTATTTTACTTTTTTCAGTTATTTTACTCAGTTCATTATTTTGCAGTTACACTCTCATTTAAAATCCGAGTTAAATTAACAGAATCTTGTTACTCTGGAGATTTTTTAAATGTTTCCTGATTATAAGATTTCAAGAAATAGCTAAATAACTGAATAGAAGTTTCTCTCTCTCTCTCTCTCTCTCTCTCCCTTTCCTTTCTTTCTTTCTTTCTTCTCATCTAGGGAAGCTCATTTTCTCATCTTGTCTGGAATCCTTTGGGTGATCCATTTCAAAATTCAGTGAAGAGCAAAATGACCAGAACTCATCTGGGATAGGGGTGCACCAGGGGGGCAGCTGGCTCTGGGCAGCTCTGCTCCAAGGTTCCAGGCCTTGCTGAAGGGAACTGGATGGGTTTGCATGAGGAGCTCACAGAACTGCCTCCTCAGATGTTGAGTTAGAGCGACCTAATGCCTTGACCAGAGCAGCTCTGATGGGGCCCCGCAGCACTAAAACTAAACAAGCAAGCAAAGGAACACGGTGGTGAGCAGGCTCTGCCGTGCAAGCCCACCTCAGCCAGGCGTGCAGCCGGGAGCAGCAGCCCTCTAGCGGCGGGAACTGGACTGGAACGTTCACAGGGCGGTGGCCTTGGAGGCCCAGGAGGGTTAGTGCTGCTCAGTGTCTGGGCAGTGGGACACCCTTGAAAACACCCTGGATTTCCCACAAAGGGCGGGAGGGTTGATTCCAAAATGCAGTCTTGGATATGTTTATCTGAAGCAAAAGAACCACCAGGCATCCTCCAGCAAAGATGGTTTATTCAGGATCAGCAGAGAATCTCAACCACTGGGAGTCACAGGCAAGTTCCCGTCCTGCAGGGAAGGAGAAGCTTTTATAGACGGGACAGGACGTGAGCTGGCTTAGCAGACAGTCCCTGGCTTTCCACTGGCCGAGTCCTTGTGGGAAAGAAGAATCTTTCTTCTGTTGGGTTCCGCTGTCATCACAGGGGTGAGAGCTCCCCCTGCTGGTCTCCCAAACCTATTCAACTGAGTTCGCGTATTAATTTTTACAGATACCACAGAACAAAAGGAAAAAGGGACATGAGATATACGTTTTCATTGTTCCTGCTTGGGGAGAGTGGTCAGAACACTTTCCTTGTTTTTAAGCGAAAGCAAGAAGTTCCAGCCCGTTCTAGGCGCCCATCCACCAGAGACAGAGAACCTGAGCCCCTCAAAGGGAAGGTGAGTGTTCGCTTAGCCCCTGGACATGGCGGGGTTGGGGGAGGGGCTCCACACCCGGTCCCTCCGCCGCCTTACCCTCCCCTCCCCACCTCCCACCTTCGGCACACACTTCCAGGTCCGCCCCACCTCCACCTGCGCCAGGCCCAGGGAGTGCTCATCCTGTGGGTTATCTAGGCAACACGATGGGCAAAGTCCCTGGGTCATCCACAGCGTTAACTTCGGCTAACTTGATGTTTGCACAACAGCTTTAATAACTTTATTTCATGAACCACTGAGCATTCATGAAGTGGCGACCGTGACGCACCAGCTGGTGGAATGAATTATTTCATTCATACCACAAACTTTTATCGAGCACCTACTGTAGGCCAGGAGCCACACTAAGGTCTGGTGATACGATGATGGAGACACAGTTCCTCTTCTGAAGATGCCAGGAAGACATCGTGAGATAACGGGAAAATGTAAACTGGTCTTGGCCGCTGGCTGCTGGCACAGGCCTCCTGGAACCCCTGCAGCTCCGGAGTGGTAAGAACCCCGGGGGCAGCTTTGTCTCATGTTTGGTCTTTCACCCTGGCTCCTGACACAGGACTCCTGAAACTCTTGTAATTTCCTGGGGGACAGGAGTGTCCTTTGTTCTAATGAAGTGACTTGGGGTGGCTCCTGGGTGAGGGCTGGTCACCGGGAAAACCCAGCCGTGATCAGCAGCTTGGACTCTTCAGCCCCACCCCCTTCCCTTGAGAAGGGAGAGGGGCTGAAAAATGGAATTAATAACTGATCATGCCCATGTGAGGAAGCTCCATAAAGTCCCAACAGTACGCGGTTTGGAGAGTTTCGGGGGGGTGAACACATCCACAAGGGGAGGGTGACACACCCCAGCTCCATGCACGCAGGACCTTCCCAGACCTCACCCAAGTATCCTTCCATCTGTGTCTTTAACCACATCCTTTAGTGAACTGGTAAACGTGAGTGTTTCCCTGGGTTCTGGGAGCTGCTCTAGCAGATTGATCACACCTGAGGAGGGTTCGTGGGGACATCTGATTTGTAGCCAAGTCAGACAGAAGTTGTGGGTAACCTAAGGACTGGGGACTGGCATCTGTCGGACAAGGGAGCAGCCTTGTGGGGCTGTCTCCAGGAGCAGAGTGTTAGCATTGAGTTACTGCAGGACGCCCTGCTGGTGTGCTGGAGAATTGCTTGGTGTGGGAAGACCTCCCACATCCCACACATTTGGTGACCAGGTGGTCAGAAGTGAAGTGTCTGAGGAGTAAAGGAGACGCGCAGGAGAAACTCAGGAGGAAGGAAGTCAGTTTTTCCTTATTCAGGGCAAAGAGTGAACTGAGCTGGTTTTTAAAATACATACATGCAAACAAATGAAATTCGATGTGATGTGTGCTCTAAGGGGCAAGAACAAGTAGCAGCAGCAGGATGTCCGGCTGGCGGGATCCAGAAAGGGGTCCCAGGATCCGCAGCAGTGGCCGACATCTGAAGACTGAGATGCGCGTGACACCCTTGCGTTTCTTCACAGCACGGGGTTAAGTGAAAACGGGACTCTGGGAACCCCTGGAGGTGATGGTCACTGTGGATGCTAGCTCGATTGAGCTCGTTTTAATAGCACCGCTTCCTCGTTAGACTCAGGGTAAACACACGGTTACGACTTACTCGTTTGCAGTAAATGCTCAACCCCCAGTGCCAGTTTGGCAGGAAGTTCTGTTATCTCCCTTTTTCGGATGGGCTCCTATTGAATCAACCCCTGGCGCTTTCGCTGTGGAGGAGGCCGCGAGAATGACCGCAGGCCAGCTTCCCTTCCCCAGGGAGACCGTGCTCGGTACCCGTCTGCGATGTCTCCTCGCGGCCACAAGACGGTGCTGTGGCATCGCAGAGACGCAGGGTCCCAGCGCAGCTGCCGGGCCTCCATGCGCCTGCCGGTTTTCCGAGATGACGCGGCATCCCGGCCTCCATTGGAGCTCAGCTCATCCCTCCCACACCAAGGGCTAGACGGCTCCCAGGCGGGTATTCCACAGTGCCCCGGTCCTCCCGCGGGTCCACCCCCCGGGGGTCTGGCTGTTTTCCTTACGTCTTCGCTGCACAAAGACGCGAACACTCCCCTCCCACTGGACAGTAGCCTCACTTGCCCTCCCTGTAAGGAAGTCTACCTTCAATTATTCCAGGGGGCCTGCACCCACCTGCCCCAATTTGACTCATTTATTTTCTGTAATAATCTGAGGGCATCATCGCAATGAGTCTCACAAGAAAGGGGGAAAAATAAACCCAAATTTCATCTTTGAGGACATTCTAGTACATTCGGAAATACCGTTAGCACTTTTCCCTCTGACAGAGGTCACTCTAAAATGAAAACGACCTCCCGGGCTCACAAGACAAGGTGGCCTGTCCACTGCTGGCACGAGAGCATGTCAGAGAGGCCACGCCCTCACTCCTGAACCCGAGAAAAGCAGCAGGCAGACCATCCCAGCTCTGGCGTGCAAACTGCAGCTGGGGTGGTTCTCACTACATCGTGAACGCGAGGGAAACCTTCCTGCTGCTCCGTGGGGCCATCCCAGGACACGGGAATCAGGCATAGACCTGGGGAGACTGTGGGTCACAACAGTAGGTGGGCTGCCAGATGAGGTGGTACAACCCAGAAACTGCTGGAAAAAGAGAAAAAGAGACAGTTAGCCCGAACAGCTCACCAGCACCCCTCCCCGGACACATCCGCAGGCTCTGGCTCAGTACCCCTTGCCTTCTGCGGGATAGCCTTGACCTTGACCGTGCATCCCGTGCGCCCCCATCCAGCTTCCCCAAGGAAAACATCCGGCCAAACTGCAGGACAACGTCATCCCCAGGAGAGTCACTGATGCTTTCAGATACTGAACGTTTCCATCACCGCGGGGTCCCCCCATGCGCACTTACAATCACACTCCCTCCAGCCCCAAACCCTGGCAACCAGTAATCTGTTCCCCGTTTCTAGAATTTGTCATTTCAAGAATATTCCACAAACGGAGTCGTACAGTAGGGAGCCTCTGGAATTGGCGTTCTCCACTCTGGACGTTTGCACAGGCTGCTGGGTGTATGAATAGTTCATTCCCTTTGATCGCGCTCACCCCAGCGGCCTCGGCGCAGAGCCCCGTGGTCCTGCTTGGACACGAGGGGCGGGGACAGGTCGGGGAGGGGACATGGGGCGGGGCGCCGAATGCGGGGTGAGGTCCGAACAGGTCGGGGGCGGGGCGTGGGCGGGGAGTTGGTGAGGGTCGCCT